AAGGACCTGCTTGCTGCTGCGTTTCTTGGATGACGAGGGAGATGATAACAGTAACTAACCAAGCAATCTCCCTGAATCCAAGAACCTGAGCTGATATAAAAGTTCTTGTTCCAAGAACTGAAAAACGCAGCAAGCATGTACAAAAGGAAAAACCAGAAAAACAGAGGAAAGAAATGCCACAACGAATAAGAACACAAACACGAGGATTTACGTGGTTCGGTCCTTAGACCTACATCCACGGAGGGAATCGCTACCAAATTCACTAGCACAAAAGGAAGAATTACAAGCTCATTACATCGAGGAATCACCAAGATCTCTCTCTCTACAAGACCTCTCCCTCAATTCTAAAGCATCTCCACTCCTTCCTCTTCTTGCTGAATCTTCTTCCTCCTCTTGATCTTCTTGATCAGATTTTTCTCTCCTTATCCCTTAAGACCCCTCATCTATTTATAGATGGATGAGGCTTCCAAGAGGCAAAGAAAAAGTTACAAGTGTGTCATTTTATGTCATAATTAAGAGCCATGAATAAACAACAGCAATATACTTTGAAATTTTTATAAAGGCCGTACATGAGGCTATTTATAAACTAAGGCTTTTATAATGTTTAAATGATGATAATTGGTTGAATTCAATTAAATAATTATGTTCGTACAATGGTGATCGAACGACGACGGACAAATCATAGTGATCCAACTGCTATGATGGTAGTTGGTTAATCGTATTTATGGGTGACAGTAGTTAATTATAGTCGAGCAAAATTTAAAAGTTCTTCATATCTCAAAGTTCTCTATAAATTTGTGTACAAGCCCTCTTTAATGTGGAGAATGTTGCTTTGTCTATACTTATGCCAAAATTTTAAATCACCTCTCATTGAACATCTCACATTGATTTCGTTGTCACAATCTATCCTTTTGCTTTAGTTCATTAATGATCTCAGATATGAGTGATCTTAACTCATTAGTTTTTTTTATTAGCAAGTTCAATTTGATTATAAGTATGTAAAATTCAATTATTATTTTACTCAAGGGTAGGCTGTGAACAAATGAGAGTCACTGTTGATTGAGGACAATAACATAACTTAATCAAGAGGGTATGTTATTTGATTTGGTTACATCATAACCATAAAATGTGGTATTCAATCTACATTAATTTAATAAATTTCATTCGAATAAATGAGGTGTTATAAAGTCAAAGAATAATATTCAAATTGATTTATATTTTAAACAACTAAAATATTAGAGAGCTGATAAAATATAACTAAATTTTTATAATCCTATCTATTAAGGATCAATGGAAGCCAACGGTCGGTTGTGAGAATTTAAATAAATTGGAGCTCCAATTTATTAATTGCGCCTTTTATTTTGGCTTTAACAGAATTCAAAGGCTTAAACTTCCATATGATTGAAACTTGCACACGCGTGGAATGTGTTAAATGATGCATAATTTAAAAATAAAAGTAAATTTCATCTAAGTTAAAATTTCAAATTTAATCATCACATAAATTAAATTATATGTGAGCACTCTTAACCTAGTGGTTTAGAGATTTGCTTTCAATCATGAGAAATTACAAAATACTGTCATTGATTTATAAATTTAACGAGATAAAGTTGAAAGTCAAACAACCATATGATGTTTGTGATAGGGCGAAGACGATGGAGAAATGATGGTTATATAATACTAGTTAGGCGAAGATATTTAAACAATTAAAATTAAATCAAAATAATTACACTCGTTAGATTATAGTGATTGAACTGCTGTGATCGAACGATAGTAATTAGGTCTGTAAATGAGCCGCGCTTGAGCGAGCTCAGGCTTGGCTCGTGTTCAGCTCGATTTAAATATTAGTGTTCATGTTCGGCTCGAAATTGCGGCTCGAAATTGGCTCGTTAAAATCGTTAAAATTAAATTGAGAAAAATAGATCTAAAGTGTGAGATTCAAACTTGAACCAAATATACACAAAAGAAGACACTAACCACATTGCCACATGAAGTATTATGATTTAAATTTAGACATAAATATACATATAATATATTATTATATTAATAATATATGTAATATATTCTTATATAAATAGTTATATAACTTTTTTTTTTTATTTCGAGCTAAAACGAGCCGAACACGAGCGAACTAAGAGCTGTTCGTGTTCGGCTCCTTTATAATTCGAACATGGAGACCTCTCGAATGAAGGTGAAAAAATGAATTGGCTACAAACTCGAACCCTCCCATAAAGGACTCACACCCCATCAGGGTATAGTGAGCCTTAAACACACTAGTTATTTTAGACAACTTTTTAAGCCTGCAAACATATGCTTGGTCAGTAAGTTTAGATGAACAAAAATACTTCTCCTCGAGACATACAAAAATGATGTAATTATTTGGAGAGATCTTTGATATGGAGGCTCTGTTATTATGATTTGGGATAAGCTCTTGCATCACAATGTCGTTTTAAATATGGTCTGAAGTCCACGAGAAAAAAAATAAAACATGAAGTAAAATCATAATATTGATACATGTGTGCACAATAAATAAAGAAACTTTATAGACATACTATACGATTCTTACTAGCACCTAAATTTTTACTTTTATGGTTATACCACTTTGGTGTCATATATATATATATATATATATATATATATATACATATGTGTGTGTGTGTGCTGATGTTACAATTTTGAGTGATATGCATAAAGCATAAATGTTTAAGACTTGGATATGTAAATGCATGGTAATTAAGAGGTATGTATGTATATGCCCCTTTAAAATAATGAATAGGATATAATACTTTGTTTAAAATAAACTGAAGAAAATATTAGCGTTTTCCCTGATTAAAAAAAAAGTCACACCTAATATATACCTGGAGTAATCAATGATATACATTCCCCGAAGTTTAAGACATACAATGTAAGTTTGTAGTCCATATTGAATGTTCCATATTTGTTCCATAAATGATACTAATTTTCATTAAATGATATATATATATATATATATATATATATATATATATAGTGCTGCGATTTATTGTGAAAAACGATGGTAATAAAGCAAAATTGGAATGAGAAAAAATCACCAGAAAGGGCGACACATAGATTTACGTGATTCGATAAATTGCTTAAGTCCACGGAACTGCAGAGAATTTTATTACTTCGAAGATTTACACCGTCGATTACCTCAACATTTACAAGAAAACACCCCATCTCTCTCTCTAAATCGAGAGTGACACCAAGAAGAAGCCAACAACCAAAGAAGAAGAAAAAAGAAATAAAAACTTCAAGTTTCTTTCTCTCTCTCCTCTCTCTACTCGTGAGCAACCCAGAAGAAGAATCAACGGGAATCCAAAGGAAAAAAACCAAACCTGCGAGTTTCTTCCTTTTTACTGCTTGCATGAAACCAAAGAGGTAGATATATATAGAGAGCTGGGCCGCCTGCGATGTATTTAAATGCATCAATTAATCATGCTAGGAGCAGGGCTGTAAACGAGCCGAGCTTGAGTGAGCTCAGGCTTGGCTCGTGTTCTGCTCGATTTAAATATTTGTGTTCGTGTTCAGCTCGAAATTGGCTCGTAAAAATTAAATTTAAAAAAACAAATGTAAAGCGTAGGATTCGAACCCGAAGCAAATATATACAAAAAAAGACACTAACCACATTACCAGATGAGATGTTATCATTTAAACTTAGTTATAAATATATATATAATATTATTATATAAGTAATATATTTAATATATTATTATATAAATAATTATAAACATATTTTTTATTTCGAGCTAAAACGAGCCGAACACGAGCGAACACAGAGTTTAATTCGAGCATTAAAAACTTGTTCTTGTTCGGCTCGTTTACTTGACGAACGAGCCGAACAAGAGCTGTTCGCGAACAACAAACTTTTTTGACAGCCTAGCTAGGAGGCCCATTTAAGGAAACCCTTTCATCGGGCAGAAATCTAGCTGAAGGCGGGAAGGCGGGAAGGCGGGAAGGCGGGAAATCATCTTTATTTGGGTGCGACGAAAAAGATCGCGCGGGAGTGCGAGCAGGCGTCAAAACCAAATAAGAAAGGAAGAGCAATTATATGAATAATTGCCTA